TTCCTCCAAGACAGATTTATTTGTTCTTTTCATGTTGTTGATGTTGATTGCCATCATGTTGAGTATGACTCACCGATTCTGGAAAAAAAAAAAAAAGGCCTGAAGCACTTCTACAACTATCAACATTTATCAAAGTTCATAGAGTTTCCAGAGGCATATTGTTTAGGAAATGGATGCCACTCCTGCTTCAGTACTCTTTACAAACATTATTATTGGAAGACATTAGTTCTTCAGTCTTTCTTATTTATTGTCCGGCTTTCATCAAGCAATTCTTTTTGTAATGACTATGAATTCTTCTTTTGATGTTCTCTGCATCATTTAATATTTTTCCCATAGACTCCTTCAGTTACAGCTCAAAGCTTAAATTTGTTCTTCAGTTCATTGGGCTTGAGAAACTCTGAGCATGTTCTTCTCTTTTGGTTTTCTAACTCCAGGTTTTTGTACATTTTCTTACAGTATGTTTCTTCATCTTCTTTTTTTAAAAAAACTTCTAAAATGTTTTAAGTTGCATATTTTCGTCACCCTTCCCATTTTCCCTACCCAATCTCTTTCTGCAGTGCCCCCTCATTTCAGGTTGGTTAATCATATACATAATGCCTGCTCATATATTCCTTTCTGACAGTTTCTCCTCTCATCTGATCAAATGCAATGTTCATTATCTATCCACCCTTTTCCAATTCTCTCTCCAAGTCTCCCTTGTCTGTCCTGTTTTTTAATAGTAATGTTATGCAGTTTTCATCCTTTTGTGACTGAGATATTTTATTCAGCATAATGTCTTCCAGGATCCCCCATGTTGTGTAATGTTTTACAAGTTCATTGGTTTTCAGTGCTGCATAATATTCCATTGTGGGAATATACCATAGTTCTTCTATCCATTCACTTATTGATGGACACTTGGGTTCCGTCCATCTCTTGGCTATTGTGAATAACCCAGCAATAACTATGGGTATACATACATTTGTTTTGAGTCAGGGCTCTAGTTGTTTCTTTAGGGTGTATTCCCAGTAATGGAATTACTGAATCAAATGGTATTTCTATTACCAAATTTTTGAGAGAGAGCCAGACTGCTTTTGGTAGTGGCTGTACCATTTTACACTCCCAGCAGAAGTGAGTAAGAGTTCCAGTCTCTTCATAACCTCACCAGCATTTGTTGTTTGCTGCCCTGTTGAACTTTGTTATTGTTAATGGGTGACATGATATCTCATAGTTGTTGTGATTTGTATCTCTCTGATAGCTAGAGATTTTGAACATTTCTTTATATGTTTGTTTGCCATCTGAATGTCTTCTTTGGTGAAGTGTCTGTTCATGTGCCAATTTTGTGATTGTTCCTTTGTCTTTTTGGCAGCCCTTTGAAATCTTCTTTTGAGCCCTGTTATTTCCTCATTTGTGCATTTTACTTCAGTGTCTGTGCTCAAGAGCAAGTTTTGGAAGTCTTCCTCAGACATCCATTTTGTAGGATTTAGTACCAAAAGTTAAGCCTTCAGATTGGAAGACTAAAAAAATGAGGAGAAACAGCTGTAAACATCCATTCAAAATTGGTACACGGAATGTACAAAGGTATAAAGCTAGGAAAGTTGGGAATTATAAAAATGAAAAAGAATGCATAGAGATTGACAGTGTAGGGCCAGAGGGACTCAAATGGCTCTTTGGGTCAGACAATCTATTATGTAAGGAATGACAAACTGAAGAGGAATGATGTCTCATTGTAAAAAACTGTACTTCTACACTTACCCTGAAGCACAATGCTGTAATAGAATACTCTCTATACACATAGAAGGAAGAGCTACAAACAAAAATTATTATTCAAATATACATACCAACCACAAAAGCCAAAGATAAATAAACTGAGGATTTTTATCAACTTTTGTAATCTGAAACTGTTTGAATGTACAACCAGGAAGAATTAATAATAATGGCTGGGACGTCAAAGAGTTACTGGTAGTTGGAAAGTATGGACTTGGTGAGAGAAATGAGACTGGAGGTTTAATGACAGAATTTTCTACAATCAATGATTAATTAATTGCAAGTATCTTTTTTAAAAAAAAACACAAATGGTGACTATTTAGATGGGCTTCACCTGATGGTCTACACAGGATCAGATTCTATTACATTATTGAATCATTGAAGAAGCTCAGTTATCAGCAGCCAAAACAAGACCAGGGGCTAAGTGTATGACAAATTATCAATTACTCACATGCACTTTCAAATTAAAGTTGAAGAAAATTAAAACAAGTACACAAAACCAAAATATAATCGAGTCCATTCCACTTGAATTTAAAAACCATCTCAAGAACAAGTTTGAAGCACTGAACACCAATGACCAAAGACCAAATAAGTTGTAGGATGATATCAAGGATATCATCAAGAAAGCAAAAGGTCAAAGACAGTAGAGAAACAGAAACCAAATGAATGTCAGATGAGACTGAGAGTTGCATTATAATGTCAAAAAGCCAAAACAAAGGGAATAAATGCTGAAGTAAAAGAGATAAACAAAGATTTGAAAGGGCAGCTTGAGAAGAAAAAGGATTATAATGAAATGTGCATACAGCTGGAGTTAATGGGGCTAGTAGGGAACTCTGGTGGCCTAGTGGCAAGAAGCTGCACTGCAATCTCAAAGGCAGGTTGTTCAAGGCCACCAGATGTTCTGCAGGGGATCTCCTCCTGTGCAATTAACTGCCTCTGAAAACCTGCCTGAGGGTCAGCTATGAATCGGTTCTGACTCGATGGTACACAACAATAGTAAGGGAAAAAGAAACTCTCTGTGTTCATCATAAACATTTTTCCAAAAGGATGAAAAGAAAACCTCATGAATGGGGAAAAAACATTTGACAATACCATCTCAGAAAAGGATCTCATAACAAAAGTTTGCAGAATATTCCTGTGCCTCCAGAAGAAAAAGATTGATAACTCAATTACAAAATAGCCAAAAGACATGGAAAGACTTTTCACAGAGGAAAACATTTGGATGGTCAGCAGACACATTAAGAAATGTTTAAAATCACTGGCAATAAAAGAAATGCAAATCAAAACTACAATGAGATACCATCTCAACCCAGTAGTAGTGTGGCAAAGTTTAGTAGGGCAGCAAGCAATAAATATTGGAGAGGATGTGGAGAGATGGGAACTCACATACACTGTTGGTAGGATTGTAAATGTTGCAATCACTCTGAAAGACAGTTTGGTGTTTCCTCAAAAAGTTGAACAAAGGAACTCCATATGACCCAGCTATTTGACTAAAAGTTATATATCCTAAGGAAATCAGAACTGAGACACAAATGGAGACCTGTACACCAATGTTTATAGCAGCACTATTCACCATTGCAAAAACATGGAAACAGCTCAAATGTCCAACCACAACTGAAGAGACTGAGAAATCAGTACATTCACACAATGAAATACTATGCAACGATTTTGAAAAATACTACATAACCTGAGAAAAACTGGAGACCATTATGCTAAGTGAAGTAACTCAGTCTCATAAGGACAGTCTCATATGACCATTATTGTAAAAATAAAAGGATAACTAGTAAGACCTAAGAGGGGAAGAGGTGGGAGTGGAAGGATGAGGATGGGTAGGGGTGAAACCACAGGGTTGTACAGTTTAGTGGGTGGAAGGAGGGGATAAAAGAAATGAGAAAGATCCACTGGGCATTTGAAAGACAGGGTAATGATGGGCAAGGTTCAATGGTGAGTCATTTCTTAAAACACAATACAAGGGAACGGTTGTATAAAACACAATATGAATGAAGAATAGTGTGAAACACAACACATACAAACTTTGTAAGCACACCAATATTAAAGAAAAAAAAACCAGAAATAAACAACCAAAAAAAAAGAATCTGTGGGAAGGCATAAAAAGTGGATAATGTGGTTTTTCAGACATCCTATGCTGTACATTTGGGGGAGGTAATGATCAGGTTTTCTTGCAGATGGTAGGTATATCCTGCGCTTTAAGTAATTTCTTAGTTTTTTTTATGCTAAGGAAACTTGATTGTAAATTTTATTCCTGGAATAATAAGCTCAAAACTTATTAATCAATAGACTTTATGAAGATGTCTTTTTATTGTCATTCTAAACTTATAAAACTATGTCTGAGCCCCATCCTCTCCCAACCATCAGTTGGCTGTTAAGTGAAAGATGAGCAGTTCGAACTCCTTAGCTGCTCCTTAGAAGATGTAGCAGTTTGTTCCTGTAAGTTTTTAAGGCTCAATGGGGTATTTCTACTGTGTCTTAATGGTTATTATGAGTTTGAAGTGATTCAGTGCCAGTGGCAGTTACTAAGGAGGCTAGGCCAGTCTCGGCCACTTTCTAGGAGATCTCGGAAGAACAAGGTCACAAGTCTGAGAGCTCCAGTCTCTGAAAGAGGCTCTGTCCTGGCAAATGGAGTCTTAGGAACAATAGAAAGAAGTTATCTGACAGTATATGTGGAAAGGTTGCTTCTTCCAAAATCCTACATGAAATCATTCATTTAATTAAAAAAGAAGAAAAGAAAAAAAATTCAAGTTACTTTCTTTGCACTACTTTTATTATATTTGGTAATTTCCATTCAGAGTCTAAATTGATATATAATGAAAATGTACACTTGTTTGTATACATATGTATATAATCAAGAAACTTTTGAATAACTGCACATTTTCGGTATATAGAAAGTATGTAGCACAGTACACATATAATTAATATTATTTTTGAGAATGTACAATATAGAAATTATTTATGTTAAAAATTAAAAATGGATAACTTCATGTGCAGGAAATTAAAAATACACAATTACTGAATTTGTGATTGTGGCAACATACACTATTAGTTTCATGGCATGATATGCATTTGAGTAAGATACACACAATAGGATCTCATTCTATAAGTTTAATACACATTGTAGGAATAATGCACATTTTACTTTGGTCGGTGAAATTCCATGTACTGAGGCATATAGTATATCTGAAAGATACTTTCAGAAGTACCTTTATGTTATTGGCATTTTTAAAAGATTCCGGTTTCTTCTATTCTCCTTTATAACGAGGTAGTCTTTTCTCTTTAAAAGCAAGAAGGCCTTCAAGTCTGTCTTTTGTTGGAATGGTCTAAGAAAAAGAAAATATATTATCTATACCAAAAATTGAAAACAACTGTAAGGATTAAGCAAGCTTTATCTGAGAAAGCAAATTTTCTTAGAAAGATTCTACAATGCTGAAATCCACTAAAGGTTGGTGGTTTGCATTTACAAGCTGTGGGCTCTGGTGGCCTAGTAAGTAGAGTTGTGCTGTTAACCCAAAGGCAGAGGGTTTGGATCCACTAGTTGTTCCATGGGAGAAAGATGAGCAGTCTCCTTAAGCTCTATTTACAGTCTCTGAAAACCCACTGGAGGGTTAGTTCTGACACCATGGCACATCATAGCAAAAGGAGTCATAAACATCAACTTAATGACACATAACAGGGAAAAACTCCACCCTAGTAATTTAAAAAACCCCAATTATGTTATGAGATTTAGAATTCTAATCTAAACATCCTTATCCAATTTTTCTTCAGATAATGAAATTGTTCATTTCTGTTTGTAGTTAACTTCATTTATGGCATATATACAATAATGTTGTTGTTATTGTATCTGGTCAATCACAACTAAAGGACCTGAACCCCGTTCTATAACTATCGTCATTTCTCTTAAGTTCCTAGAGTTTCCAGAGGCTTGTTTTTTAGGAAGTGGATGCCACTCCTGCTTCCAAACATTAATGAGAGGTCATTATTATTTATATGCAGAGACTGGGCACAGAGTTGTGCTCTACCTAGAACTCACAATTTAGGATACTACCACTTGAATTAGAAATAGAAATTTTTTCAATATTTAAGGAAAGTAACAGAAAACTCTTTGTTTCTTCACATGCCCTATAGCAAAGTTATAGCTTTTAGAAAAATAACTAAAAAGATTGTGTTCCTATAAAAAGCCTTATTACAATAAAGAAAGTAGTATAATTCAATTGGTGAACTTCTATAGGATAAGAGGTAAGGCTCAGACCTTGCATAAAGAGGCATGCACAAGGCAATCACTCTGTTCATGGTCTCCTCCTTCCGTTCTCCACACACGGAGTCAGAACTCAGGTCTACATTTACAAGATACAATGGTCACAGTGAATTGTAGTAATACAATGATTCTCAGAGTTCTCTAAATTATGTAGGCTGGAATCCTTAGTCCAATAGGTGAAAGAGAATTTAGCAGTCTTATATTGTGAGGTACTTTGAGTTGACCATATACACAACAAAATGAAACCCTGCATGGACCTGCTCCATCCTTAAAATCTCTGTTGTACCCACTATTGAAGTCACTGTGTCAATTCAACTTACTGTCAATTTATGTTAAGTCCTTCACTGACCCTTTGCTTTTCCAAGTTTGATGGTCATTAGTGCTGGTAGTTGTCAAACAGCTGCAACAACTGTTTGAACTATCTGCATGACTTCTGAATGAGTGTGAGGGTAGAGAATTTATTTGGATTATAAAAAGGTAAACATTACAATTTGTAAGAGACATCTTCATTGATTTTGTGGTAGTTTTACATACCTGAGCATAACAAGCTTCTTCTATGGCTAATCCTGTTACTAAATCAACCTGAGGATAAAAACAAAACTCAGTTCAGCAAAATTTACTTTTAAAAATGTGATATATATGCTCAAATTTAATAACCCTATTTTTAAAAATGAGATTCTCTGATGATCAGAATGATGTCCAGGAGCAGAGGCTCTGATTTTAGGCTGTCTAGGTTCAAATCTTAACCTCATTACTTAGAAGCTGGGAGTTCAGGTAAGTTATGCAGGATTTCCGTGCCTGAGAACAGCATGTCTGAACATAGGGTAATGACAATACCTACTGAACAGGAGTACCATGAAAACTAAATTAGGTAACCCAGGTACACTTTTTGTGAAGCCATTAAGATACAGATTTTTCTACTATAGTAGCAAAGTCAGTTCCAATTTAAAGTAATGCTTGTACAACAGAACAACAGACTGTCTGGCTCTGCATTATTCTCACAGACATTACTATGTTTGACCCTACTGCTACAGCCACTGCACTAATCCATCTTAATGAAGATCTTCCTCTTTTTTTTTTCTCTGACTGTCTACATTATCATGCATGATAACCTTTTCCAGTGGCTCATTTCTTCAGAAACATGCCCCAACTAGTATGTGAAATGAAGCCCTGCTATCCTAATTTCTAAGTCTATGTACACATAATTTACAGGTGCTTGTTGTATAATTTGCTTGTATAATTGTTGTTGCTCACTGCCTTTGAGCTGAGCATGACTCATAGTGACCCTATCAACAAAAGACCTGAAGCCCCTCTACAACGATTGACATTTATCAAAATTCCTAGATTTTCCAGAAGCAAGTTGTTTATATAGGAAGGGTTGTATACAGTGTTATTATAGTGGTAAGGAATTGCATTACCAATGCAAAGGTATGCCATTTAAACCCACCAGCCGCTCTGCAGTAAAAAGATGAGCAATCTCCTCCTATACAATTTACTGCCTCTGAAAACCTGCTGGGAGGCCAGTTAGGTCCTACTTGACAGTATACAACAACAACAATTATTAAGGAGCTCTGGTGGATGACTTAAAGATACTTGGTCCAAATATACCAATTATTCCATAGGGAAAAAATGGGTAATCTCCTCCTGTGGGATTTATAACCTCTCAAAAACCCATTAGAAAGTTAGCTATCAATTAGTTCTGACTTAACAGCAATGAGAGCAAAATAAGTGATAATTTTTATTATTATGTAAGAATTTTTAAAACATCAGTGAACTTCATAGAAAATATTTAAAGAGACATTTACTACTAACAAATATAACCTCATTTTATTGCTATGGAGGCCAGAAAGAAAGATACAATAGCTCTTAGATATGAAAAGAACTAGAATCTTGTAAAAATAATTCCCATAATCTAAAAAAAAAAAAAAAAGAGCAGACTAGAGCACAACCTTGCTTTGTTGAACGCAAAGAGGACTTGAAGGACAAACTGATGACAAAGACTACACAGCCATCAGTATGGTTTACACCTCAGTGTATAGAAAAAAAAATGTTGACAATTGTCCAGTAAATAACACCATGACAAATGAAGGAAAGAATAAATTTGCAAGGATTTAATTTTACATGCACCCACTGGGTGCTCGTTGGTGCCAAAGATGATGAAGCTTCGTCTCACATACTCTGGGCATGTTACTAGGAGAGTTTATTCCTTGGAGAGTGACATATCAGGCTTGAGAGGATGGAGGAATGATAACAAAGAGGAAGATCTTCAACCAGGTGGGCTGACATGTTAGCAATGGACTTCAGTGTGTTCAGTGAGGATGGCACAGGATAGGAAAGTGTTCCGATTAGTTATTCATAAGGTTGCTATGAGTTGTACTCAACTCAATGGCACCTAAAAACAACATCATCAGCATCTCCGGAGACAGTGGTCAAAAAATCAAATGACAAACTTCATTGGGCAAATTTACTGTCAGACTAAAGTGCTAAAGAGCAAAGACAGCACTCTAAGAACTAAGGTGTGCTTGATTTTAGTTATATTTTCAGTTGCTTTCTATGCAGGTGAAAGCTGGACAATAAATAAGGAAGACTAAAGAATTTATGACTCTGAACTGTGATGTTGGCAATGCTCAATATACATACTACAGGCTGCCAAGAGACATACAAGTCCGTCTTAAAAGAAATGAAATAAGGAAGGTGAGACTTCACCTCACGTAGTTTAAGCATGTTATCAGGAGTGCTGGACTCTGGAGAAGAATATCACCCTTGGAAAAGCTGAGTGTCTACGAAAGAGTGGAAGATTCTCCATGAGATAGATTTACACATACTGTGATTGCATCAGTGGACTTACGCACAGGAGAGATTGTGATGATGGCAAAGGATTCAGTTGCATTGCTATGACTTAGAGCTGACTCAATCCAGAAGAACAAATAGATCTGTCTATGGTGAGATTGGAGCCATGTAGTTTGGACATATTATGAGGAAGGGCCAGACCATGGAAAAGGATATTGTACTTAAAGAGTCAGCAAAAGGAAGATCCTCAAATAGATGGATAAATAAACTGGTTACAACGATGATATAAATGTAACAATGAGGCTAGTTAGCAGTGTTTCCTTCTGTCATACACAGACAGGGTCAGGACAAGTTGCTAAATGCCACTGGCAAGAGGTGCCTCTATGTTTTCCTTCTGTATGCCTCTGCTCTGGCCTGGGATCTTTTGGAGTCATTTTCCTAGGGAAACTGTAGAACAACCTACAGATTGATCTTGTGTATGTGGGACTCTCTTCAGAAAGTGGATAGAGATGTTAAATGGGAAAAAATTGGACTCAGCTTAGACTTAGAAGTTTGTCTTAGACTACTTTTGGTGTTTTTAATATCCTAATAGTGATGCTGATGGTACACTAACTGAATGCCCTTTGCTTTTGTATTTCTATAAATTATTAACCAATAAATATATTAGCTTATTGGCAAGAACAACACAACGTTATAAACTATATGATATTTGTGAAATGATGTGGTTGTAAAGACTTTCAGAAACATGAGCAACTATATCCTAAAACATTAAAAAATAATGAAGATATTTAAACATAGCTCACTTAAATGAAATCTCCAGTTATCATCTCAGCAATAAAAAACATGCAATAATGTGTACTTACCTCCATTCCTTGATTAATTGCTAATTTTGCTACTCTCATTGCAACAGGACCCTAAAATTCAGATTAAAGAAACAGATTTTATTACTACTTATGAAAATTATGTGGTATATCCAAGTATCATTCAAGAATTCTCACTGGAATTTTCCAATGATTGGATGGATGGACAATTTTTAACTAAGAAGAAATTTTGGCAATTGTATTTCACCAGCTTTAAATCCCACAAGCTGCATTTTCTGAGCTTGTACCAAATTTAAATCACACAAATATTCCCTACATGGTGAGCTCTGTATTCTTGAAAGACAACATGCAATATGTGCCTAGAGCACATTCTCAAAGGAACAACTCCCATTGGAAGTTGTTGCTGTTGTTATGTTTCGTCAAGTCACTCGCGACTCATAGCGACCCTATGTACAACAACTCTAAACTCTGCTCTGTTCTGTGCCAATCTCATTGTCTCTGACACACTCATCCCGATTGTCCCAGTCACCAAATCAATCCACCTCCCAGAGGGCCTTCCCCTCCTGCACCTGCCCTCCACACTCCCAAGCATGATGTCTTTCTCCAAGGACCGGTCCCTCCTTACAACATGACCAAAGTATGGCAAACGAAGTCCCAGAATCCTTGCCTCCAAGGAGCAGTCAGGTTTAACCCTCTCCAGGATGAATCTGTTTGTATTATTAGCAGTCCATAGTACCCTCAGCACTCTTCTCTAACACCAAAGCTCAAAAGCATCAATTCTCCTTCTATCCTCCCTGGTCACTGTACAGCTCTCTGATGTATAACAAGTGATTGCAAAGACCATAGCCTATACCAGACGCACCTTAGTCTCCAGATATAAATCGTTGCTCTTGAGTACTTTAGAGAGGTCCCTAACAGCAGACTTTCCCATCGCAATATGTTTTTTAATTTCCTGGCTACTGATGCCAAGAGTGTTGATTGTGGAGCCAATCAGACTAAAGCTGTGAACAATCTCAATCTCTTCACCATCCATCCTGATGCTGCCAATTGGTCCAGTGGTGAGAATCTTTGTCTTCTTGACATTGAGCCTCAATCCATATTGAAGGCTGCAGGGTTGTCTCATCTGCATAATGTAGATTGTTGATAGATCTTCCACCAATCCTGATGCCACATTTCTCCTCATAGAGCCCAGCCTTCGGATGATCTGTTCTGCATAGAGGTTGAAAAGGTATGGAGACAGGACACATCCGTGGCGTACGCCCTTCCCAATTTTAAACCATGCAGCGTTTCCTTGCTCTGTTCTGATGACTGCTTCTTGGTTCAAGCATAAGTTTCACATTAGCATGATCAAGCGTTCTGGGATTCCCATTCTTCTCAGAGTCAGCCACAGTTTGTTACGGTCCACACAGTCAAACACCTTTGCATAATCAATGAAGCACAGACAGACATTCTTCTGGTACTCCATGCTTTCAGCCAAGATCCATCTAACATTAGCTACAATATCCGTAGTACCATAACCCCTTCTAAACTCAGCCTGGACTTCTGGCAAGAAAGGAAAAATATTATTTTAAAATATGAGATAGCATATGATCAAGAACTAGCAATCTTAAAGGTCTAAGAAGTTCAGTTACATCAAAGATATTGGTGAAAATCAAGGTTCTACAATCTGATTGAATATAAATTGAAATATTTCAACAAAGAGATGTAAACCTAGGGTGTTACTTTCCTATGCCAAGAAATTTAGAAGGTAGTTACATAGCTAATCAACTGAAAGAAATTAATATTTTAACTTAATTGGAAGAAGGGTAATTCAACTGAATTATATTGTTTGATAAGAAAAATTTTATTAAATAAGTTAATTTCATATAAAAGTAAAATTTTGCTAAAGATAATGTAATAATGGTTCCTGTAATACAACAACAATAAATTGCCAGAAATTCAAACCAGACTCAAAAAAAGCTGTGGAACTAGGGCTGTCATTGCTGAGTGAGATGTATTTTGGCTGAAAATAGGGAATAGCAGAAAGATGTTTACATGTGTTTTACTATGAATTCAAGAACACTTAATTGTGCTCTTGCAGAATATTTCATAGACAAAAAGGCAGCCATTTTAATAGAACAAGGGGATACTGTTTGGCTTAAAACCAGGAAAACTATAAGCGTGTATCTTATCACTATACTTATTCAAATCTATAATGAGCAAATAATCTAAGAAGCTAGATTGAAGGAAGACTCTAACAGCCTGCCATATGTAGACAACACAATCTTGCTTATTGAAAGCAAAGAGGAGTGGATGCACTTCGTAATGACAATCAAAGATTACATACAGCCTTCAATTTGGATTACACTTTGCTATGAAAATACAAAATTCCTTACAAATGAATCAATAAGTAACATCATGACAAATGAAGAAAACTGAAGTTAACCAAGCATTTTACTTGGATCCACAATGAACGCACTTGAAAGCAACAATTAAGAAATCAAATGACCTATTGCATTAGTCAAATCTGTTCAAGAGAATTTAACAATGCTAAAGAGCAAAATACCATTTTAAAAGACTATGGTGTACCAGGGATGCATCCTATCTCCATACCTTTTCAACCTATATGCAGAACAGATTATCCGGGAGGCTGGGCTCTAGGAGGAGAAATGTGGGGTCAAGATTGGTGGACGATTTATCAACAATCTGTGTTATGCGGATGACACAGCCCTGCTTGCTGAAACTGAAGAGGACCTGAAGCGCCTGCTGCAGAGTGTCAAGGACTGCAG